GATCTCTATAAATACCCAAAAAGGGTCACATCATCCTGGGCACAGAGAGAACTGCTCCTGTCTGTGCTCCTGACCTCCGAAGATGCCGGTCACAGATGCTGGTGAAACGTTAGGAAACAAAACTTCCAGAACACGGCCACACAGCCTGGAAGACCCACACCAGCCAATAGCAGCACACTTGGGGCAACTCAGAGGTTTGCAGAAGTAAAAATATCCTCAGGGGAAAAATATCCTCCATAGGAGGAAGACCTCTACCCCCCAAACAAAGCCAATAAAGATTGTAAAAACTCAGTATGCTTGCTGAAGAAGAAGTGTTGATGGGCAAGGGTGCCGGGAAAATTAAAAATCAAGACAAGAAAGGAAGATAGAATGGAGCAGTTAAATCATTTTTGGAACTATGAAAACTTGCATGTTATTTTGTAAGCCTTTCATTACTCTGATGATAGTATTGTCTTGAGAGAAGGTTCCTCCTTGTGACCAGTATGGCTGTTTTGGTTTTTTTTTTGGTGTTTTTTTGGGTGGAGAGATGAGGATAACTCCAAGATTTAAGAAACTCATACAGCATGGTGGCAGTTGATGTGCCAAACATTTCTTGTTATAGTTTGGCAGGATGGTGGAAGCTCCAAACCATAAGCCAAGACAAAAACATGCAGGATCAGTAATAACTTCCTGCAATTATGGAAAGATTTAAAAAATAGTTGATCAGAAAGCAATTCTATTTAAGATGTATGCCAATAGCTCCCACGCCCCCAAGGGTATGTTGGTGATTTGGGTTAACATTTATTATTTTGTGTATAAGTTTTTTTCTGTTTTGCAAATGTATAGATAGATACTCATGGTTTATTGTTTCTTTTTTCAATGAGTCTTATTTTAGTGTTGAGGAGCCTATAAATGTCTAAGTGACCCATGTGGGAAACTTCTTTGGACAGTTTGATTGTCAACTTTTGGCTTAGTTGTCTTTTCTTTGCAGATTATGGTGATGAAGATGCTGAGGAGGAGATTGAGAAAGACTTTGATAATGACAATGTGGAGAATAAGGAGGAGGTAAGTGACCCTGTTTTGTAGCAACCTGCCATGTGTTTGGTAGCCAGGCCTTAATTCCTTCTACTTTTAATAGATGAGAAGCCAGAGGGGAGATCAGCAGGGATTCTTTGTCCTCTCTGTATGTCTGCAAAGATATTCAAAGCCCCAATCAGCCATAGAGCTGCCTTGCTGAAGCAAGATTCAGATCAGGCCAAAATCTGAAGGAACATTATAATAACTGTTACATTTCAGATAAGTTGGTCTTAGGTCTGGCTCTTGTCTGGAAGGGAGGAGAAAACCAGGGTCCAAGCATATATTGAAATCCATGGTGGAATAAAAATGGGATATGCATTGAAATAGATAAGGCCATCATCTTGCTATTTGTGGAAAAAGTCTTATTTAACTATAGAAATATCTAGATTGGTGCTATAAATAATGTTGAGCTAAAGGTCCTGAAGTTTGGCTTTTGGACATATGCAAGATTAAATTCCAAAACAGTAGGCACCTGTTTTGTAGTTACCTTCTTATTCTTCATAACTGTGGATATATATGATGCCCGCTACTGTCAAAAATGACCAGGCATGAGTTGAAATACATGGTGAAATGTTTATGCGTTCCTTTTTTCCTCCCTTCATCCCACCAAGAGTTGATTTAAATGCAGTTCAAGAATCATGGCCCTCCAGATGTTGGGAAATACAGCTAGGAATCTCAGGAAGCATGTCCCATAGTCAAGGATGTTGGGACCTGTCATTTAGAAACATCCTGTTGTGTTCCTTACCATGTTGTACTGGTTATGGTTGTGGTGGTAGAATATGGAATATAATGGGAGTAGACTTGAGGCAAGTCTATGGGTGAAGATGAATCCAAAGAGAGGGTTCCTTTCATACTTTTCATACTGGCTCTTATCTTGAAAGGATGATGATCTAGAGAAGGATATTGACAAGCTCCTATCTAGACCAGAGCTTGACCGACCAGAATCGGAACTGAAACAATATATGATCATGTGTCCTGAAGTTCAGTATAACTTTCAGGTGAGATCCTTCTGGGGTTTTGACTTTCCAATCTATTCAGAAAGCTGCTGTATGCAATGATCCATACTGGTTTATTCTTTTTCTCCTATTGTGAAGGAGAAGGAATTGGAATCTGAAGATGAGCTGAGTTCTGAGGATATCTCTGGGACCCTGACATGTTCCTGCCTCCATGTCATTCCATGCGCTACTTCTCTGAAGCACGAGCTCAAAGGTAGAGAAGGGGACCAAAGTATAGAAGAAGAAGAACAAACCCAAAAGGCTTCAGAAAAGACAGTACACAGAGAGGAAAGAAAAGAGAAACCTCAAGAACTTGGAAAAAGAATTCTTGGTGAATTGGAGCCTTTGATGACTTCTTTCAGAGAAGGCATCATCTCTAGTAAGGGTCATACAGCTCAAGATGGATTACAGAACAGGCAGACATCCCAGTTCCAACGTATGAATTCCTGTGGGCCTGGCTGCCAGGAAAGAGTGGAAGCTTCTGAAGTGGTCACACAGGTCTTGGAGAGGCATCCTGGGAATATCCCTTTCCACAATCCCTGTTTCTTTATGGCAAGGGCTAGTTGCACCCGATCCATTCCAGACTACAGAGTACTGGCATTCCCAGATCTCTGGGGGCATCAACCCCCTCCTTACAGCCAGCCTTTACAACAAAGAAGATGTGGTATCCAAAAGTAAGTTTCTCTCCCTTCACATCTAACCCTGCTGTAAAGATATAGGGATAGGAAGATAGCAAAGTGTCAAAGGGGGACATATTGATCATCATGCTCACTAATTGTATATGTATTAAGGTGATGTGTGCCAATAAGAAAAGCAGATATCACTCTGATACCTTTAGGGAAGACATCTTCCCCCAGCCCAATAAATAGGCTGTTTGTGGTGGGGGGAACAAATCTACAGTTGGGAGATGGATTGAAGTTTTCTGGCATAGGACATGACTGTCTGGATAGGACCACTTCATGCTGCAACATGGTTCCCCCATGTTTTACAGGACCATGAGTGAAAGAAAGAGATGAGATGTTCTAAAAGGAGGAATCCCAACATAGAGGTTTTCTTCTGGGTATCTTTTCACCAGTAGATCAACTCTTTTTTCCTTACCACAGGGCCAAAATATTTGAAGACATCCGCCGTGTGGTCCAACCAGCTGATATGATCAAGCGAGTTGTCTTTGATTTAGACAGTTCTGGGTAAGTGTTTTTTTTTTCCCCAGTTTAGAACATTGTTAATGAGAGTTGATGAGTAATGGACTCTTGACAGCCTTCTTCCCCCTCTATACATCCATAAAATCTGACCTGGAAAGTCCCCTGCTGGAGACAGGAGAAAGACAAATAAAGTAGTGATACCATTGTTGGATCTGAGCTGGAGGAACCCAGGTTCAAATACCAATTTGTATGAAAAGTTTGCTGATAGCTTGGGGAGTAATTTTCTATCAGCCTAAAGTTCCTCACAGGAGTTTGGATGTAGAGCTAAACTGCACTGTGATCCCTGTATAAGCCACTTTGTTCTCCCAGTAAAATGGGGGGATGTAAATACACATAGAAACCTATGGGGAATCCTAATCGTTGTGAAACTACCTGTGTCTCTGTGATTTCCATGGCTTTCTGTTAATTTCTTCAGTGGGTAACTGGCATAGCTGTTTTTCAGTCAGCTTTGCGCTAATCTTGTTGCCTTTTATTTCAGTTCTTTACATTCAGATGAACCAAACTGCTTAAAGTTCTTTTCCAGATTTGAATCCGGGAATCTCCGCAAAGCCATCCAAGTGAGGGAGTAAGTATTGCAAATAGTATTATTTATAAGTTATAAATTTATAATATTTATAATTTTTGATGTATATATAATATATATAATAATATAATATACATATTATGTTTATAAATTATAAAATTATAAATAAATACACAAATAAATAAATAGCAGTGTCTGTGAGGAGTTCAAGGCCATTTTGGGAAAAATGAGGCTTGGAGACCATGATGGAAGGGAAACAGTTGCCTATGATTTGCCAATGTTATCTAGGAGGGGAAAATATAAACCATGTTTAACTTTTTGAAAATCCATCATATTAGTAGAGCAATACTTTCATGGCACACAGTTCTTAAGAAAAGTTGTTTTCAGAAGACAGAAATGACACAAGAAAGAAATGACTAAGTTATTAAATTACTGAATTTATTTTTCATATTTATATGGCCACCCAAATCACAAGCAAGTGACTGGGTGGTGTACAACAAAGCTAAAAACAATATACAAACGATTACATTGTTGTGGTTGTTACTAAAAAGTTTAAAATTACGAAAGGTACAAAACTAAACAATAAAAAATATTAGATGAAGAGCAGGTGTTAATTTCCTGGCAAATAGAAGGGGTAGAAATGGAAGCAGTAACAGACTTCATTTATTTGGGCACCAAGACCACCACAGACAGAGACTGCAGCCATGAAATTAAAAGATGCTTGCTCCTTGGGAGGAAGGCTATGGCAAACCTAGATAGCATATTAAAAAGCAGAGATATCACCTTGCCGACAAAGATCT